TCGCACACAGCGGGAATGCTCTCAGAATTCGCTGCATTGTGATCAGATTGGGGCGCTAATCACTTGTTTAGTGCGCCCATCTGTAGTGCGTTTAGAACAAGATATGCGGTTTTTTAAGCAAGGTGCCTGCGGAATTGCAAAATCACGCCCGCGCCACTGTTGGGCGGCGGGCTTAGCTGACTTCGAAACATGGTGGACTCTTGACAGATGTTCATCTTCGTCATGGAGTTTTCTGCGGCCTCTAAACATGTTCGGGAACCGAGTTACCTATCTTTATGGAAAGCGCCGCCCATCTCAAGCACGCCCCGCCCATTTCGGGTGTGTTTCCTTTATTTGCTCCGCCAACCCAATGCTAGCCTTATTCTACTTTTTCCCATCTCCGGGTTGCCTTTTAGCCGAGTTATAGCTTTTTTCAGTGACACGGGAAGCACGCCCATCTCAAGAACGCCCCGCCCATTTCGGGTGTGTCTCCTATGTTTGGTCGGTCAGGCCTTTGTTAACTTCACTGCACTGTTTCCTCATCACGGGACTGCTCTGGAATCGAGTTATGACCTTTTTTCAGTGACGATCGCAAACTTTGGACGCACGCCCCGCCCACTGTGGGCGGGGCTTACCATGGGTCATGGGTGCTATTTAGGTTTTGTCCCATGCACTATCCATCCCCACCCTGACCCGACCCCGCCAGGCTCTTCTTCAGGTGCTATGAATTTCGTGACAAACAGGACAGGACGCAGCACACACACACGGAGCCAGCACGGACATCGGCCGATTATATTAGTCAGGATTGTGGTTCCTAATACCCCTTATTATTCTTCGTCATCAGTCCACTGAAAGTTACGAATGAAAAAATAAGCAAAGATTTTTCTTGACCTTCCTTTTTCAAGGCGTAGTACATATCTCCCCCTCCCCCACCTCCCTGCTCCTCGACATCGACATTATATATAGTACGATAGTCGTATGAGTTCATTTTCTGTTGTTATCAGGAAACTGATGGCTGAAGGAAAAATTTTTTCGCAATTTCGCAAGAATTTCCATCATCGTTTCTTGATCATTGAAAAGATTGCTGTCCACCCTCAATCATTGTCCGCTGTCACTGGAACACCCTTTGATTTGGTAGTGTAAAGGCTCCAGCACTTTGATCTGAACAACCAACGGCGACGTCTCTTATCAAAACCCTATCCAGTTGTTATCTTTCTCTGTCAACCGCCATCGGGCGCCCCACCTCTCCCGCTTGTCTATTATCATTTCTGAAATAAACACCTAGCGTTATGGATAATGGTGACCTTCCCATTCTAAACTCCCTCTTGTCAATCTTATTCAGCCTTCTAGCAGTCTTGTCACCGCACAATTGATTTTCCTGCGCTCGCAGCCTTTATCATATACTCGCAATCGCCTGAGACTCGGGTAGGCGGGGCATTCGAAACTTGTTAAGGAACAGCTGGGTTACTAGTGGAATATTCCAGTCTGGGACAACTGTCATCTTGTTCTGTGTTGGACAGAGACACGACAACGATTGTGTCGAGATGAAAATATCGCATCAGAAGCGTAGACGCCTTAAGGGTAAGTTGAAACATGCGGCCACGCCTACCCGATCTCAGGGATCTCGACGTGTTAAGCTTGGAACAAACAACCCAATGTAGCCGTGACCCGCGCTATGACTCAGTAACCTCCCCTTCTAACGCCTCTTATCAGATCTTATCAGCTGATATCATTCCCTGTCACCCACCATGATGTTCCTGTCCTACAGCCTATATCATACCTTGAAACTAACGTCCCACTGTTGCTGTGTCCCGCACTATGAGCTCGGTGACCCTCAACTTCTGACGCCTCTTATCAGATCTTATCAGCTGGTATCACTCCCTGTCACTCACCGATAATGTTCCGTCACAGCCCCTATATCACTCCTTGGAATCAACTTCCCACAGCTACTGGGACGTCTGCTGTTGACAGACATCGCGACCAGACCAAGGACATATTTGGGCGGAATCATATATATGTAGGTTTTGGCATGAGTTTCTTATACACGTGTTTGATCCTCTCCTTTCGTTGCCGCATGATGTTGGTATTACGTCATCACGTGTGCGTGACGTGTACATTATACTCTTTCATTACACTAGCTATCACTCACCGAGCTTGCATTTGCAGTACACAATGTCGCACAATTTGCACTGTGACAAACGTACCTGCGCCACTGTTTGGTTTTGCTCCACGATTTCGGCTGGAATGCAAAGGAAGCCCATACCAAGCTGTGTGGATAGCATAACGGTGAGCGACGTCATCTCTTAGCATGACATGCCAAGAATTGTGTTTTCGCCAACAATTCACGTAAGTGAAAAGTAAAGGAAGACTTTTCTCTCGAAGATGCGCCGAGGTCGGGTCGGCCGATGGAGTTGGATTTGAAGTACTACGTTCCACCGTGGAGGAGGACCCGTACCTCACCACCAGAGAAATGGCGACCATGCTTAGCTATGATCATTCGACGGTTGCACGTGGACTAGAAAAGCTCGGCAAGGTAGCAAAGCTTGGTCGATGGGTCCCACATGAACTGTCCGCTTATGACCTCTCGAGGAGGGTGACCACCTGCACTTCTCTCCTCACTTACTTTCCAAAAGAGGCTTCACTTTCTCAACTCGATGATCACTGCAGATGAGAAGTGGGTCCTCTACGATAAACCCTGTGAGGAAGTTGCAGTGGGTGGACAAAGGAGAACAGCCAGAAGCCACCCCAAAGGCCGACCTTCACCCCAAAAGGTTCTGCGCTGTCCTGTTGGTGGTTCCAGAAGATGGCATGGGTAGCTTGGGAGATGCTGGGAGAGAGGGGACAGACGATGTGGACGGCTTTCCACATACGTAACCCAGCTGCGGAAATTGAAAGATCACGTCGACCGTACTCGTGAAGGAATGCGGAAATCTACTTCCACCATGACAACGCCCGGCCTCACACTGCAAAGGCGACCCAGGCCGAGCTGGAGAAGTAGCGGATGCTGGATTAGTCGCCGCACCTCCCTACAGCCCTGACCTCGCTCCTTCTGACTACTGGCTGTTCAGCCACCTGCAGCGCTATCTGGACGGAAAAAAGTTTGAAACAAAGGATCAGGTCAGAAAGGCGCTCGACGACTTCTTCAAGTCCAGCCTCCTCCGTCGTTCGCTGGAAGGATGGAATCGACAAGCTGCCTGAGCGCTGGCGTCGAGTAGTGAATGGTGATGGTGCATACCTCTAATCTCCAGGCTGGTTCGTTTTTGAGATATTTACAAAAAAAAGTCGTGTATAAGAACTTATGCGACAACTAATTACTAGG